CGGCATGGGTGGCATGGGCGGTATGGGTGGAATGGGCGGCATGGGTGGTATGGGTGGCATGGGCGGCACCCATATCAACATCGACCCCAACATCCTCTTTAACATGATGAACGGCGGCGGTGGCGGTGGTTTCGCTCAAGCCGGCGGAAACCCCTTCGGTGGCGGCCAGCAGTCCCGCGGCGGATTCCCGGGCGGATTCCCCTTCTAATCCACAGCAGCCCCATGGACTGCACATATTCAACACCACAGGGATAACGGAACATATAAATCTTGAAGAGGAAACAGAAGGTCAAATTTGAAAAAAGGAATCTCTAATAAACGACCGACAAGTCTCGTCCGTGGTTGCATTTATCAGTGCCAGGGCAATCATCTCGTTCTCCACCCTTTACTCTTTTCCTACCTTGCGTCGATCAATCCATCTTACGCCGTCTCATCTATAAGCGGTCTTCGATATTCCCCCCGGTGCATGCATGATTTCGGATTGTTAAGCACGATGCTATAGACTTGCTGCTTTGCTTCTTTATCTACCTCTTATCTTCTTTCCAGTTTCACCCCATTTTTTTTATTCCTTCCCAACCTAGCATAGATGGGACGCATGTTTTATTTGTGACTTTTTTACTTCCCTTTTTTTTTCGCTTCCGCTTTCCCAAAGATCACTCCCTGCTCTCTGTATGCAAGGATGTGTTGAAGTGGGTGAAGACAAACAGTGGAACATCTTAGTGGCTACATTCTGGCGTTATATACTCTTGGGTCTTATGCTTGCTACCTATTGATACTATTTACTCATTTGCGTGTGGTCTGCGATGCTGCTATGTTTATGTTGGGATTTATTTGCGAAATACCAGTGGCTTAGCCATTATCGGGTAGCTGATGAGATCAATGGATATGTTGATGATTTATTATACGTGGTTCATTTCGTAGCATGTTTCTTTCTCATTATGGGTAGGATTGGAAGTTTGCTATTTTGCTGTTACAGGCACATGGCCAGTAATTACGCCAGAAGATTGATGCAATAGAAGATGAAATGGAAGGTTCATTTCCAGAATAAACCCTATTCACGTCAGAGACGATAAGTTCCAAAGCTGCTAACAACAACCAAGAGCCATCCACGAAACTGAGAAATCAAGTCGTTCACGTTCAGCATGGAAAGATCCAAAAATAACAACACCATCAATCCAATTGCGCACCTCATCCCGTGTCTTCCAGAGACATGGGACTAAGCTTCAACCATCTGCCATTAATGTTCGAAAATCCCGAGAAACACGAATTATCAGATCATCCAAAGTTCGCATCGAAAGGTCTGGAAATAAAACCGTCGTCCTCACGACTGCATGCACCATCCATTACCCCTGAAATATCAGGTGAAATGCTCGTCATCGTCGTCCATTGTAGTTCGTGTCCCATAGATGATGACAGCCCCTTTGGTTTTTACTCGCGCTCTGCCTCCGGCTTGAATAAGTCGTTATAAACAAGCGCAAGCTCTGGGTACAGACCCCATAGGTCTTCTACCTGAATGGGAATCTCCTCCTCGTATTTCACTTCTGGTTCCTCTTCGCTTTTTACCAAGACTTCGGGTGCAGCAGGTGGTACTAGGACTGTCTGACCATTTGGTTCATTGTTAAGCCCCAGAAGTTGATCTAGATGTATCTTTGCCTCTGTGCTCTGTATGATCTTGGTTACCTCATTTTTGAGGGTTATCTGGTCAGCAGAGAACTTCCGGATCTGAGGTTCGATGATAGCCGTGCGGTAGTCGCGCGACACGTGGTTCACGGTCGATTCTACCAGATGTCCTAGCTTTTCTCGTGTCATGTTCAGCAGATCCATTATGTTCTGTAGTGCTCGCTCGGCACTGATTCCAAGCACAGAGGAACAATTGTCTGCCGCCTGGCGAGTCATTATGTCTCTCATGCGGACCAAGGAATACCGGCCTATGTACGCTGTGTCAGAAGATTCTATGAGATGTATCACCCGTTTGGAGAATTCCGGTCAAGATGGGGAATGGAGTTAAGAAGTCTCATGCTCCTTCCCTTCCTTATCCCACAGATAAAGAATAATAACTGAAAACTTACCAGACTGATCCGCACACTCTTGATACGCCTGCTGTAGCTCTGCCTCAATCGTCTTGGCAAATATCCTGTTCAATTCCTTTTGCTCTGACTTTATTGATGCTTCCAGCGGCTTGAGCTCATACCCTAGAGTTTTACAATAGGTGCTTAGCATCACTTCCGGCATTTCAGTATTCCTGTTGGTGGGGGCGCCTCTATCAGCGAGGGCCATTGCTCTGCTGTGAAAGTCTTGCAGGCTGCCTTCCATGCCGACAGCAAACTCATTGAGATGTAGAGGAACTTTCACGCAGAATGTTCTTGTCCAACCGCCGACAATCTTGTCTAACAATGGATTGGCTCTGTTGTAATGTGAGTATTGTCCAGAATAACAAAGACACGGTGCCGCTTTGCATACAGTTCTTGGTTCCAGTCTCTTTCCTTGAATACTCCTTGACGACGACAAATGGCTCGGTACGTATTGAACGCAAGACCTCCTTCGTTACGGGGTGCATTCCACTCAGAGATTATGCGAGGAATTTCCCCGCAGGCATGTTTTACTGCTCGGTCTACATTATTTGTATCTGTCAGACGAGAGCAAAGTGCATTGACGGAGTCACATACCAAGTCGATTGATGATGTTCACTTCAAATGTTTGAAGAAGTGCATCAGAGTGCTCGCAAACCTGCTTTTCCATAGCCTAACGGATTAAGCAAAAATTTCCGAATGCCTAGATAAGAAGCATACCTTTCTTAAGTTATCCACGGCCAAGTTGAATCCGGTTTCCAATTCTTGTATCTTCTCGTCCGACATGATATGTGCCGGACTAGTTGCCAGCGACCATAATGACATCGATTGGAACAGCTTTTTCAGTTGAGCTAAAAATCGCAATGCCGATGCTTCCCTTGCTTTTCCGGTCAAGTTTATGCAATGGCGCTGTAACTGGGGTATTTCAGTATCCTCCAGCTTTGTAAAACCAGTCACATGGACTTCCTTCCGAAGTCTACCACAAAGCTTTTGGTATGCCTTTGTGGACACGCAGAACACAGGAAGTTCGTTCGCCAGTTTTTCATAGTCTCTAGCTGGCAAATTTAAGCTAGCAATCGCTGTCTGATCTTCATCCTCTCCAAACTCTTGATCTAACTCGTGGATGCCGCACGCAAAGTCCTTTTTGATCTCCTCCTTTGAGTAGATATTTCTGGCGTTGATGCATTCCCGGATAATGTCTGTTTTCATATTCTCGGTTTCTTCCGTGAGTCGCTTAGATTCTGCTTTTTTGATTTTGATCTGTTGGTTGAGTTGGCGTCGCTGTTGTTCAAGTTGTTTCCTCTCGGCTTTAAGAGCCTGATGCTGCCTCATCCTGTCTTCAGTTCCAGCGCGACTCGACTTTTGCACTTCAGTGGCGGAGACATCAACAGGAGCCGTTGCCATATCATTCTTGTTAGAGTCGGTTGTCCCGCTCATCTCAACCTCACTGGACATCTTTTCTTTGTTGGGCATATTGTCAGATTGGCTCAAATGGGACTCTTCACTGGACAGCCTAGCTTCAAGCTCCTCGATCTCGTCAGAAATAGAGCCAATATCGTCCAGAATACATTCTTTCCTCTTTTCAAGCTCATTCACCTCGACTTCTAACTGAGCACATAGTTTGTTTTGTTGTTCTCGCCTCTTCACTGACGGCAGTGCCAGTCTTAGAGAGTCCTGTACTTCACTCACAGAGATATCGTCTGTCTTGGTACATATGAAGGTGATGTTATTGAAAGCACAATCCATATGCATCTGCATCTTGAAGTTCTGCCCTAGAAGGTCATGGGCAACTTTGTCATCCACAGCTCGATTAATGGGCGAGACAACCCAATGAGCTGAGCAACGTTTCATATAGTCTTCTGCAACCGCCACGCGCGCAGCATTAGAGTCAAAGACACCAGGCAAGTCGACAAGAACAGCTCCGGTAGACAGCGCCTTTGCTTTTACATAAATTTGAACCACGCGAATAAGCGGCCAGAGCCCTATATCACTGCCCTTCTGTGAAGGGTTCTTCGAGTTGCGCCTTTTGCCCTTGCTATCGATGTAAGACTTCAGTTTCCGAGAGAAGACTCGGGCCTTGTCCTCTTCAAAGATTAAGGTACTACCAAGCAGACTCAAGACTTTCTGATCCTCCAAGAGCTTCTCAACTGATGTGTTGGTGATGTTTTCCATCTCCAGTGAGGGGTACACAGCTTTGATCTTGTCAAGTGCAACACCGGCATTAGAATCCTTTGGAATGTTCTCTCGGGTGACATCCCTCAAGCTGTCGCAGAGCTCTTTGAAAAGGATGCGTAGTTCGTGTTCCCACTCGCTGCGTTGGATGAATTCAATGCGTGCTTTGTACCGGAACTCTCCATCGTTGTATGACAGCTCCGTTGCCACTGCAGTGGAGGCCCGCATGCAGTTTGTTGCGAGTATGTTTTCCTCATCGGCGATGGCATTGATGAGAGACGATTTTCCGACACCAGTGCTACCAACAACCCCGATGATCACTTTTTCCGTCTGAGAAAAGGAAAGTGCCAATTCAATGTCATCTTTCCAATTAGTGTCACCCAACCAGACATCAGACTTATTGAGGACGCGCTGGAGATTCTCTAACGCTAGTACTCCTGCGTCGACAGCAGATTCCAGGGCAGGTATCATGGGGTCTTCGGTTTCTCTTGGGTCATGGGTCGGAGAGATATCTCTTTCGGTCATTTCCACATCCTCATCGTTAGAGTATGTGGCATCGTCATCGTCACCGTCTTCACCATCTTCATCGTCGGCCCCCTGGCACGACTCGGCTAACACCTCTGTACCGAGGTGACCGAGTTGGGCTTTGAATGTGGATACTTATAACTATTAGCGCTCAACATTTGCCAAGCAGATGTGGTACTCACTGGGTATGGACGAAGTCATCTCAGCCTCAAGCTGGGTCATGCTTGCAAAGCATGTTTCATAGAGAGTTTTCAAACTGCTCTCATAGTCGGCTTGTGCTTCCATCGGCGTAGACATTGAGGCAAGTATCTGGACTCGCTCGGTGTACTCTTGGCGAAGTCTCGGTGTTACTAACGCCCATGACTCCTTGAAGTTAGGGTACTGGTGTGCTAGCACAGATAGTATTAGAATATCTCCCTTGCTATAACAAAGTATGGCGCAAGACTTGCAATGTTCCTGACCCTCCCATACACATGAGTGCCGAGCCTGCTGCTCAGCTATGTAATGAAGCTGAGCTAAATTGATGACCTGGTCATCCATTTTTCCAATGTAGGGTAGCGCATGGACACTAGATAGAGGAGTAGAAGAAAGAAGTGACAAAGAAGTTATAGTAGATAGTGTCAAAAGTGAGTGACTAATGAGAGATAGTATGGAAGCTAAGAGATTGAAAACAGCAAGCACAGATATGAGTCTTCAGCAACAATATATCGTCAAGGAGGAGTGTTATGATGAAACACTGGAAATCTGTTGAGATTGAGCCTTGATATGTTTGTTATTAAAGATAGCTTGTGTTGTCGGGGCCACGATAAGTTTGACCTTCACTTCATCGAGAGTGAATCTTTGCATGAAGCTAGAGAGATAGAGAAGTGTGTCAGATCTCGCACCAAGGACATGCGACAATGCCCTTGGTAGCTTGTTGAAGGCAAGTGCATTGCAGAACATAAGTCTACAATCCTTGAGGAGTCTTGATATTGGGTATAATAAAAGACTTCTGCACATGTTAATAGTTGTTTGAAGCACAAAAGGCATTGGTGTTGGTAGCAAAAGGAAGAGAAAGTACAAGTCACGAGATAGCAGTATGAGGCACATGCATCCAACGCCAGAGACAAATTGAATATATCGCTATGCTATCATATATTTGAATACCATGGGTACTGCAATTTCGTGTTGCGCAATATGCCGAAGAAGAAGAAAGAAGATGCGATAATGTCTATTTCCATCCATTCTGCAATCTCTGCCGATATTCAGCAATCATCTCCGCGGTGATATTGCTTCCTCCACAAACAACCACAACCACCCGACTGTCCGGAGTAAGATCTGGAACAGCTTCCCTCAACCTTGGCCCTGCCGCTATTTCAACACTGATCCCGCATGCCAGCTCCACCTGCAACCGAAGCTCATCAGCCAAGTGAATGATTCCCTTCGCAGCCTCAGCGTCGGATCCAACAACACTGACAACGTCAACACCGGCTGGTGGTGACTGAGCATTCTTCAAAGTCTGAGGAGCCACACGAAGCGCACCCAAAGAAGTCGCCAGGGAGGAGATCGCCGGAAGCGACTGCAGACTTCCGCTCCGCAGCGAGAGCGCCAGAGAATCTGCTCCATTTGTCTCAGCAGCCAACACACAGACATTCTTTGACGTTGTACCAGCTATCAAGTCTGGTGTCGGATGAGATCGCATGTAATCCCCAAGTCCTTCCACAATCCCATTAAAGAGACCTCCGCCACCAACGCTACATACAATGGCATCAGCGGGGAAAGCATAGCCTGCAGGAGTGTCTCTGGGCGGTAACTGGGTAGCAATTTCCGAAACCATTGTCCCCGCACCTTTCCAGACATCTGGATGATCAAATGGGGGCACATAGATGTTCCGTTGCTCAGCCGCGTCAGCGTCTTTCTCGTCTGCCTCCTTTTCGATGAAGGTTTGCCGTAGATAAGTGTCGGCCTCGAACCAGCTTGACCCATGCTGGATCACATCTGTAGCTCCAGCAGCGCGCAGCTTGCTAATCATGAGAGGCTTGGTGCTATGTGGTACGACGACTGTGCAGTGGCAGCCCAGATCTCGGGCTGCGATGACGGCGGCTAGCCCTGCATTTCCGCCCGAAGAACTGTAGAAGTGAAGCTCCTTGTCTTTGTTTGCAGGATCCAGGAGAGCGCTGCGAATCAGATTTCCGATACCTCTGCAATGAATATGAGTTACTTCTGTGCTTCTTGATAGTTCTTGTGGAAGTTTCAGATGGTCCTACCTCGACTTGAAGGACCCTGAAGGTTGAAGCAGTTCTAGTTTCAGAAAGACTCTACTATATAGACATTAACAACGATGTATAAAAGGTATTAGATCAATAGAGTAAATATACTTACCATCTGCTGCCTTTGACAACGTCGCAGACTCTATCAACGGCGTCTCGATCCATGGCTTCCGCTGCGTGGGGTGAGTACCAGTCATGGTCTTCTTTATTAGGACAACAAGACCAAACGTGAGGAATAAACTATAGACAAAGAAAGATAATATCTAAAGACAAGGGAGAAATATCGACAAGAAACGAGAAGGTGTTATAGACTTATACTAGACAGCAATATCCTTTGGCAAGGCCACAGTAACATAATTCCGCGCCCTTTCAATGGCATCGAGCTTAACAATTGGCCGAACATAATGCCCTTCTCCACTATAAATCTACCGACCGGACGAGAACCTGAAGAGATCAGAACCATTCAGTACAATAAGATTCTGCCTTATGGCAAGTCGATCAACTAACATCAATGGCTCTAAAATAACTTTTAACAGAAAGTTCTAGAATTTATTCCAGTTCCAACATTGTATACGACACCCCAGCCATCTTCATAACTATATTGCCGATAGATTCAACACTTTCTTCCTTCGGGCATCCCAACGAGTGAGCAACAACATAATCGCAACAACCGCCAACTGCGCCACGGTTGTTGCCAGATTCGAGATAAACCCTCCCCTGAAGTTCGGGGCTTCCACTGCTGGGTACTGTAATAGTTGTGTCCAAGCGGACATGGCTTGGCCGATAGCGTTCATACTGGCCGTCACAATTGCACGCTCTTCGGCGTCGTTAGCCATCGTTACGGTTGCCCAGCTCATTGTGAGAGGGCTCATTGCTAGCGGATAAGCTTCATTAGAATAATCTCTCAGTGGCGGTGGTGGATGAAGATAAAAGGATGAATGTGTTTATGCAAGAGAGTTTTGGTACTCACCACCCTCAGCTCCGGTAAGAATAAAGCCCGCCAGTCGTCCAGCCTCACCCACTTTCCAAACTACAAGTAAAACAAGACCCAATAGAACTGGAATTGTAGTGATGATAGAAGGAAGCCAGAAATTCCTCTTCTTGTCCGCCGCGGTCCCCGCGATCAAGGCAGCTACAATAGAAACAGCCGTTGCAATTGTCGGCAGGGTATTGATTCTTGTGACAGAATAGAGGTCCGGTTTTGCTTTGAGGTACAAACTGAATGGTGTGGACGAAGCCAGAAAGTTCTGGTCAATGAGGATCCACTGCGCAACGAAGACGTACCAGTGCCAACGACCGAGCACACGCTTAAAAATGTCACGGGAGACTTTCAGTTGGCTTGGAGCTGTGAGGCCTACGAGGCGGGAATTGGCGAGTTCGTGCTCTTTATGAGTTAGGAACCTGGGTTTCGCACGATGCGGGACGTCTAGGAATGCTATATAGCCACTGTGTCCAGTTAGTATTGTCCCTGTATCGGAGGTGGTGAGTCCGGACGTACAGGATACATATGGGTATTGTGATGATGGTGCAGACGATGAAAAGCCACCTACGAAGCCTATTAGCTTGATATTCATTGTTGTACAAGTAGCTGATAGAGGAATACCTCCATCCGGCCAACCCATGCGTATTGTTCAGATTGGTATACGCGGCCGCCTGAAGATAACCAGCGAACATTGTCCCCAGAGGTGATGCGATGAAGAATAGCGACACTCGACGACCGATTTCTTCAGGCTTATACCACGATCCAATGACATATATCACGCCGGTAAAGGAGCATGATTCGCAGATGCCGATGAGAACCCGCATCGCGTAGATAGTGCCCGGATTCTGTGCCCAGGCACATCCAAATGTGAACAGGCCCCACCCGGCTTCTAACGTAGGTAGAATGATATTGATTCGACTTCTGGTCAGAAAATAGCATGCAGGGATCATGGATGCACAATATGCTGCCCAGAATGCGGCTGTAATGTAATTGAGTTCATTACCGACGAGTCCAATGTCTTCTTTCATTCCTCTGTGTATTACTGTTAGTCTCTGTTGAATTTGCTTGAGGACATTGCAATGGAGCTAACCTACGATACGTAAGCATTTGTAATGGCCTGCTGGTCAAGGTATTTCGTGAAGAACGAAAGGCAGCCGAATGTCAGAATCAGAACGTCCAATTTCAGTACCAGTCGCTTTTCTAAATGATTCATGTCTCTTGGATACCATCGTGCCCATGTCAGGAATTGAATCCATAGTCCATCATGACCTCCAAGGACAGTGGTTTCATCCCCAGAAAACTCTTGGGTTGAATCATGGGCGAGCGTCTTTGATTCACCCATCTTGGTACTTTCTGAAGGTTAGGTAGGTTTAACCAAGTTAGGTAAGTTAGGGCTTCGCATAAGAGAAGCCGAGGACCAGGATGTATTTAGCAACTATATAGGAAGAATATGGAAGTCTAGATATGACATGAGTCGCGACAACCCCTCTCCAATTGCGGGGGTTGAATGGGGTGCCGATAGAGCGATCCCAGGGACTTATGGTATCATTGCCATCGATCCTCTAGTCTGAAGGCATTTCCAATCTGGGAAATAAATGTCGGATTGCACTAACAATTCTGGGTTCAAGTTTGTTTTTCGTAGCGTGTTTCTGTGCCGAAACTACGTCTACTACCCAATGGTTATTAGGGCTCATGTCATGGCTGGCAGCATTGACGCCATCCAGGCCATTGATGCAACTAGTGGCCTCGGTCAATTGTGTCATTGCATGTTGATATTGCTACCCATATAGCATCATTGGCCCGGCCATATCTCGAATGATAAAGCGAATGGTGTTTGAGAGCACATTTAGTAATGCTGCTTGTCATCCATCCGTCTTTGCCGTCAAGTAGAAGTAGACCCATTTTATAAGACGTATAAAGCGCCTACTGCAACCCCTAGTGCTCCACACCCAAAACAACCTGCAGGGACATCAACTTCCGATCTCAGAATGGCCCATCTCGAAGCGCGCAAGCACATATCCCCTGATTCAGGTTTCCCCATCACCCTCCACCCCAACTTCAACCCCAAAATCAAGCACCATGTCCCTCCAGACTCCATTCGGGAACCGTTCAACCCATCAAAAGACCGAGCACTCTTCGCCGACCCTGAAAAGAAAGCTCTATTTTCTGTGGCCAAGCCCGTAGACCTGACTGAGTCAGTCGGCACCCTTCTTGAGAATGTGCAACTGTCTCAGCTGAATGAGCAGCAGCTGGATGAATTGGCTCTTTTGGTGACCGAGAGGGGTGTGGTGTTTTTTAGGGATCAGGACTTAACGACGGAAAAGCAAGTTGAGTTATTTCAGCATTACGGTGAGTAGCGTATCCAGGGTTCCAGTAGGGAAGGTCTCAATACTGACTTGTACTTATAGGAATTCTCGATAAGCATCCTGCCCAGAAGGTGAGTGCGAAGATAGTATCTAGATTGCGGGATTCCAACTAGGGCTAACAGCGATACAGGACCAAAAAGTTAGATACTCCTCGATACATGGCTGCTCTTTCTCTACTGACGAAATCATATAGTTCGTGAATATCCACGGTAGCCGTGAGGATCATCGCGAGATTGCCAATTACACCCCATGGGTAAGACCACCATTCCATATATATGCACCAGTTATTCCAGCTGTAACTTCTCAAAGCCGAGTGGCGAGTTCCACGCAGATACGTCGTTTGAAATTAACCGTATGTATTGCACACTCACTAAATATAATGTCGAATATTTACCTCAACTAGCGCCATCATATTCCCTACTGAGAATGGAAGAGCATCCAGACGTCGGAGGCGACACTGCTTGGGTATACTCCATTCACACCTTCAACCTAAGCCCAATATCCCCCCATCTAACCCAGAATATCATCAGGTCTCCCAGTACGGCCTATACGACGCTCTCAGCGACGCTTACAAGAAATTCCTCGATGGCCTCCACGCAGTACACACCTCTAGACTCCAATGTCCGCCCCCCATGCCTCTATACAACAAGCGAAAACTATGTTCATACTAATACCAAATAGATGACACAATCCTTGACCTCTGGGGCGTCGGTCCAAACAGACCACCCATCGACACCCACCATCCCGCCGTTCGAACACACCCAGTCACCGGACTGAAAGCCCTGAACGTGAACACGGGGTTCGTAACCGGCTTTGCAGAACTCAAGAAACTCGAGTCAGGTTAGTATTTTAGTTCTTGTGTATGAACAGTGCCGGCTGGCTCGATGACCATTCAGTACTGACGTGATATGCTGTCTAGACAAGCTTCTGGATTTCCTATCGCATCATATCCATTCCGCTGATGATCACTACGTGCGTTGGAAGTGGGCTGTTGGTAGTGTTGCGATGTGGGATAATCGGTATTACATTCCTATGTTGTCCATTCCCCCAGTTTATGATGGATGCTTATGTTGCTGGCTATAGGTGTACCGTTCACCGAGTGATCCCCGGAAGGTATAAAGGGAACAGACGAGGAATTCGCACAACCGTCTTCGGTGAGAAGCGTGAGTACCCGAAATACATCATTTATTAGAGATATACAGATGAACTGACTGTGCCGGACCGGTCAGCTTATTTTGATCCGGCAAGTGAGAGTCGAGATGAGCGCAATTTGCGCGAAGAGAAGAACTCCAATGGGGACGCTTGACGGCAGTACAACGGATGGGCTCTTTAAGGGTTTAGAAATTCTTTGATAGAATGCCTCGTAGGACCAAATCTATTCAGCGGTACTGAAGAACTTCGTTTGTAAGCTACATTTTATTCTGTATCATAGGTATCATTCCTACCCATCTAGTAGTATATCACGGCATCCTTGATGCCTCTTTCCTGTACTGCTAATAAACATTCACTGTCCGAAGAAGTAAATAGGCGAAAGAAATACAGTCGGACTCCCTGTCACCCACGAAGTGAATATCAAACCATGTCATCTTGAAAGTGACTGATGGACAAAATCGAAAAAAAATCCAATCCATCGCAGACGACGAGAATGAAACAAGGCGAAATCCAACTAAATCAGATCAAATAGTGAACAAGCAAACGCATTTAAACATGAACATTAAGCTGTAAATCTTTTGCCTTCCAAGGGATACGAAAGACAAACCTGTTCCGAACGATTATTGCTCCCCTAAACGCCGCCCAATTGATAAAGCCGGGTATATCCAGCACCATGATGCAAAAATGTACGGAGAATAATAGATCGGTGAGGACTCTGTCATGACCGGATCTACCAAAGCATACCAGTAGATCCAAAGCCTAGTCCTCATTTTTGGGCCTGAAACCTATGCACGTAGAGATGTGGATCAAGGGGGAAAGCAAAGGCAAGGAAATTGGAAAAGGGAAAAAAAGAAAAAAAAAAAAAGAGAGATAGAGGAAAAGCAGGGCAAAGCGCAACTTGCTTTTGGTTCGCCAAAATTTTCATCGGTTACCTAGCCCCTATGCCATACATACCGACCCCGTAACTTCCACCTCTTTCGGGCAGAGGAGTTGATATTTTCGACACATGATCCTACGATCCAGCGTTAGTCAAGGCAAAACATTCTAGGATCACAGACTATACCTTCTTCCGTTTCTTCTTGCTAATTCCTTCGCTATTGGAATAAAATGCGCCATCATCATCGTCGTCTGCGTAGCCTTCGCCGTAGCCAACAAAGCTATTGTCATCGTAATGCCTCTTGCGTCCCCGACTGGGCCGAGCCCGCTCCGGCTCAGCTGCAGTGGGTGTTCCATTTGCCTGACTGGGCACTCGTGCGCCATTGGAAGGTGTCGCAGCCTTCTTGCTACCATCCCCACTTCCAGCATGTTTCGACTGCTTTTCATGGCCAAGAATATCTTCCCAATAATCGTTGTTCGTAACTGTGCCCGGCTCCATTTTCATGGCTCTCATCTGAAGGTTATACAACGCTGAATCCATATCAGCAACCTTGATCTCTTTCCCGAACACCTTCTGGTTTTGCCACTCTTCTTCCGGCCACATCGTCATGTATCTCAGCCCACCGGCCATACCGGGTTCCTGCTTCACAGGTTTGTTTCTCCCAGCTAAGCCTAGGCCTTTCAGCTTGCCTTCGTAGGACTTTCTTAGTCTGTTGATTTTCTCCCCAGTTACCGGATCCATCCTTGCAACCGATTTCGCAACCGGACCAAGCCCGTACAAGGAAACAAGATCATACGACGGGTCCGGACCAGTCGCAATATGGGCTGTAGATTTCATAGCACAGTGTTAACATATCTCAATCCAAGAAATGATGGACCAGAGTGCATTATGAAAACGGCAACAGCCGCACCAAGGATTGGTATTGGGGAGCTCTTACAGCTTTTGCAAAGATGGAAGGCCGACGTAAACTCTTTTTGCAGAGATTCTAAGCTTGATTCATAGTTAGATAGATCCGCCGTTCCCTTGTCGATATCCATGGCATCGCCATGGTTCAGCATATCCTGGCCGCTTGTGTTTCCAAAATCGCGGATTCCGGTTTGCGCACTTGGCCCTTCCGACTGCCGATCATGGTCTGTCCGTCTGTATTCTGTCTGTTGCATGGGCGCATTCAGATCTGTGGTGGATGTCGCCCCCATTTCCGGCCCGAATGATTTCTCTGTCTGTTCGCTATCATCAACAGGCGTTGCCCCCGTGAAGTGACCGTTCACACTGCTAGCCGGTGTCGGGAACGAATTCGTTGTACCTACTGTGGGTTGCTGTGAGGCTTGGGTAGACATCGGCACGGAAGAAGGTGGCGAGGAGAGGTTTGCAGGTTGTGACGTTGCCTGGCCAGGTGACGTTTGCGAGGATGCGAAATTGGAGGCATAGTTCTGAGCGCTTACCGACATCAACGGAGGAGATGTCGGGGTTTGTGGGGTGTGTTCGGTTGAGATATAAGAAGGGTGGTTCGCTTTTAAAGACCCAGTGGCGGGAGATGATGGCGAAGGAGGCCCTAACCGGAATGACGCCGAGGAGGCGCGATCGGACATGGGGTCCCGAGTGAAGGTTCGGAGGAAGGAGATTGATCAGAGCCTGAGCAGCTCTGAGTCCTGCAGCCTCGAGAGGAGGTCTATATCACAGACTCTCAACCCAAGGGCAGATCAAAGCAGATCTAGGCTATGAGGGGGGGCTGAAATCACGCCGGTCGAGGTTCGCTCAGGCGGGCGAGCAAGACGTTCCACAGCCGTCTAATATGCACACATTCCAATGATCCGATTCTGAGCGCTACCAGAATGTTGTCAAGCAAGCGTTTCGATGAGCAATATAAAAGAGTGGAAGGCGAAACTCGGCGATGGTGGAGTGAGCGATGGCCCTTTGGTCCGCACTGGAAGAGAAACGGACGGCTTTGAGATGTTGGATGACGGCAAGAGACCGGAAGTGCACGTGACCGAGCCCTTTTTCAAGGCTTGTAACTTACGATACCCGTCAATACGATTTCGATCTTTCAATCTTTGCTGGATTCAATTGGATTTTACTATCAACCGCTAAGGAAGTTAGCGGCGACTTGCATCCAATTAGCATTTCCTTGTCGCTACTCTGTACAATGTTCCAGGATTGTTTCAATGGCACCGTTGATGCCATTCACCTTGTCAATTTTCGCTTTCAATCTTCTTCAACACCTGATATCTATTTCAGAAGGACAAGAAATATATTAAAAAAAAAAAGAGAGAAAACGGGTATTTCCCGTACTACAAAACGCAGGCCGTTACAGCCTCCTGAAACCCCAGCCACTGCTTACCGCTGGTGATCCACCTTTTACCACTTCGCCTCCTCTATTCGTATTCCATCGTGCTATTACAATGAAATATTCCGGCCTGAGTATACCATGATAGCTTCAACCCATACTGAGGAAATATTGAACATACTCGAGGTCTAGGGAACAATGTCAAAAAGTAGTTCTGTAGACTTTAATTCCTCCATATCTTAACTGTATATCACCTGTGAGACTAAATCAAAGCCAAACTAGCACCAAACACCAGGCTACCGTACCTCGTAAGCCCTTTTTTGAATAATCGCCCATGGGTATATCTACATTCATGTATCAAAACAAAGGCCGCTGCACGGGAAGAACCGCGGCGACTCTCGCAATAGCAAACATATTGTGACTTGGTTGTCAATTCCCCCAAACCTACTAGGACTGGTAAAACGTTGCAGACTCCCGCACAAGTTGGGCTGACACATCAGGAATATTCTCTTCCAACTTCGCCATGAGCTCAATCTGGTCATGTTGACTGAGCGTCCGCTCACGCCACGATGGAATAGGGTATGCCCCATTGAAATATTGCGAGTATTGATTTCCAATAGAGTCCATCCAATTCATAGGATCAACAGTCGCTTCAACATACGCAAGGTGGCTTGCTGTTGTAGAGGCAAGCGTAAAATCAGGATCCCAGCCTTGCAAACCGGGAACAACAGAGGGAAACTGATTGTAGGGCGTGGTTGGGTCGAACTGTCCATCAGAGCAAGCGACAGTCGTTGGGTTGAACGATGAGGTGGTATATGGGGTTGGCGTTATGCTTGAGGAAGTAAGCCGTTGGGTCTGCACTTGAGAGTCCCACAGCGGATACGGGGCCAGTTTCATCGGTTCCGAAGGAGGCGAGGTGGTTGAGAATGGGAACGTCGGATCTGCAGAGTGCCCTCTTGACAATGTGCCCGAAGACAAACTGTCAGGAATTGAGGCATTCATACCCCGGATGTTCTGAGAAGGGAATGACATTGTGGTACTTGCAGGACTTGAAATGGATGGCGGCGTCGCAACTTCCTGCGACGATGCCGGTGTTGTATGATTGGACGGAGATTGGACGACGAATGATTCATGAGTGTTGTATGCTTTGAGACATGCCGCGACAAGGCTCTTATATAGAAGTAATGCCGATGCAACGCCGGGCCATCTCTCTGCAGCAAGCACGATGGCCTCTAACGCTATATCAAGGTGGCCCTTGACTTCATCTACGGGATGCTCCCTTCGAATTTCAGGATATGACAGGGACCAAAGTATGGTGTTCAACGCCATAAAAAGGGATTGAGTGAAGATCCAAGTCAAGTCGACCGATTTAGTCGCAATCTGCTCTCGTTGCATTGCCACATTGAAGACCGACGCCTCGTAGCATTTCTGCGCAGCGCTGACAGAAGGCTCCGGTACCTGAGGGGAGGGGCGAAACATGAAAACGATCATTGTATTCCGCCTGCCATGAAACCTGTAATATGGTAAGCAAACGATCCAAAAAAAAAAAGCAATTCTCAGGGTGGTGTCCTTACCACTTCTCACTCAAGCCACTTCCTCCGTCGTTTTTCGGACAAGAGGCCACCCAATAATCAAGTTTATTGAGCATTTGCTGGAACCATGGATCTTGATCATCAACAGGAGTATCGCGCTTATTGAGGTAGAGAGTGCGTCTTATCTCCAGCTGTAGTAGTCGCATCTTGAAAAAGTGTATTGCGATACACTTAGGTAGTATTGGTTTCCCTCCTGGAAGGATTCCGTCTGGGGTAATGAATTTGTCATCTATGAGTTCGAAAAATTTGACACCCATATGATCGTGGCTGACAGAATAGCAACTGGGCCGTCCAAGACTATGGGATAGTCCAAATTCCATGGAGGTGACGATCCAGAAGAGTCGCCTTCGCATGTCTATTTCCAAGGGATTCAACAGTTCTCCACTGGGCGACTTGGTGAT